TTAAGTTTTGTCAATTAATACATATCAAAGCTGCAATAGCATTGGATTGATCTGACGTTTCACCTTTAGTGTGAGCATTTTAATTAAAATCCAGTCATCTTGATGTAAGCAAAACAGTATATATATAGGAATAAAGTAAAATTAAAAATTGACCAACACAAATGTTCACAATTGCAACAAAAGGAATATTTGTCATAGAATATATTAAAATGCATAATAACACAATACTTTTTATATATAATAACAACCGAGTGGGGGCCTAGGATCACTCTGGTCCCAATGTGCCTTCGCTCTCATCTACATTTAGATATTGTACATTTACCCGTATTTTATAGGGCCAATTTGGCATTGTTGTGCTGTGAAAATAATTGGTGTCAGATTTGCTGTGAGAGAAAGCAGTTTGGCGTTTGGTAAACTTTTTGTTAAAAGTGTTGTTGGTACTGATTGCCGCATAATCAATAAAAACTCATCGCCTCTTCGAAACTGATTCCTGCATAATCAGAAAATGAAAGCACCTCATTAGCTGCTTTCCCTTATAGCTTTCTCTCACAGCAATTTTTAACAATAAGTGATTTTCTCATAGTTTACCAAATGAGTTGGGCTTCCCAAATTTTTTTTAAAATCACTTATCATGATAAGCAATGCCAAATGGGCACTACATCTCAATCGTCTTAATAATACAACCACTTGGGTGAATTTGAGAGAGTAGATTAGGATATGTGAGACGCCCAACATAGGTGCAACCAAAATCAACGTGGAAAATGGAAGACCGGTTTATTACTAACTTATCCTTTAGCTTAATCTAAATCATTAGATCATTTAAATGGTTGGAATAAATATACGATATCTAAATGTAGAGGCTCGAGATAGTAATTTTTTGAGATGTTCCAATTGTATGATATTTTCTCTCGATTCTGTAACATTAGAATAATCCAATTTTATTGTCATATTCTCAATAAATCAGTCGCGTGTCTTAATAATTTAAGCATTCAATTGCAAGATATTTCCCTAATTAAAATTGAAAACAGATTAGACCACTAATTTGAGGTTAATGATTGAAAAATCAACCATTTTTGCACAAAAAAGGACAAGTAATTGCATTGACTTATTTTTTTGGTAATAATTTCATTGACATTGCTAAATATTCAAGAAATTTCCATATCAAACCCCACATATAGAAGGTCCTTAATTATTGCAGTTATATTTGTAACAATCGGGGACTGCTCTGTTATGGAAAGATATCACAAAATCAAAATTATAGCAATCTTTAATTGGCCTCAAGGACCAAAATTTTACTATAAATTTGAGATTTGAAAACCTTGTTTGTCCATTTATAGCTTTGCAGTTACATTCATCTTCCTCATTATATTTCCCTAGAGTCATCATGGCTTCCAGCAAAGTCTTTGGTTTGCTTTGCTTGTCTATGTTTCTATTGACTCATAATTCAGTGCTTGCTTCATTTGACTATGGGGATGCTCTCACCAAGTCTTTGTTGTATTATGAGGCTCAACGATCTGGAAAGTTGCCTCCAAACCAAAGAGTGCAATGGCGTGGAGATTCTGGGCTTAAAGATGGTAGTGATACTGGTGTAAGTTTAATACATAGTTTGATTCTCCCATTTGTTATAAACCATATTATGTCGAGCATCTACGCTACCATGTCGATGTTTTTTCTTATAGTTAGTTTAGTGGTATTTCTCTTTCTAATATTGAGGTCCTGGTTTCGAATATACTTACCTTACCATATTCATAAAAACCAAAAAGTCACCATCCATATATTTATTGACATAACAGGTTGATCTTGTGGGAGGATATTATGATGCTGGGGACAATGTCAAGTTTGGATTTCCCATGGCATTCACAATCACAATGCTTTCATGGAGTACTATAGAGTTCAGGAGCAAACTTGACGCCAAGAGTGAGCTCTCAAATGCATTGGATGCCATCAAATGGGGCACTGATTATTTGATCAAAGCACACGCTGCGCCGAATGTCCTCTATGGCGAAATTGGC